TTTCTTCACTTTGTCAATGAATCCTTTACTGTTTTACGTGTGTCATGAGATTTGCAGCCTTGGTACACGTCTCTCCTGACTTTATTTGCTTGACTGTTTTGTTCATTTTCAAGCACCATCAATGTAACAGTGGTGGCTTGGTTACAAGTATGAAATAAAAGAAATGGTTACAGAGGTAACACTTGTTCTATGAATGAAGGTCAGTGAACCAGACTTAACTGAGAATGAGTTGGCACAGCTGTATATGTGCTATATTAACAGGAGAGTGGTTAATTTGGTATTTTATTTCTTATAAACAAGTCACGCACAGGCTAATGCACAGTGGCATTTCGTGCTTCATTTGAAAAACCACAGTAACGTCATCTGTTATTTCCTGACAGAAAAAAAAGTGCAGCAAATAGTTTTGAAATACTGTGGTGTGAAAAAGTGTTTGCTCTCTTCCTGATTTCCCTTTTTTGTCAATGTTTGGTAGACTTGTAGTCAAGACCACCTAAACCGAGACCAAGACAAGACCAAGTCGAGGCGAGACCAAGACCAAGACCGCAACAAAATAAGTCTTTAAACTGCAAGCAGATGCTGCTTCGTTTACGGGTGTGAGGCATATTTATGTGTTTTTGCTTTTCCACAGCTCTCCTCACGGCTGTCTACTGTCTCACTCACTTACTGAGAGGACAGACACACGCTCCACTTGACTGTCGCGTCCATCACCCTCTCTGTTTTTCATGTAATGATAATATCCTATATTCTCGCATGTGATTGGCCACAATATGGAGGGACTGGAGCGCAGCTGAGCCAATGTCCGAGAGCTGAGCAGCAAAAGGAAATTAAGTGAGGAGCCGGCTCTCGCTCAATGGGAATCGACATTTTATATACCCAGGGCTTAGTCCTAAAGGGTAGTATGCATGTGGGATTTTTTTTTTCTTTTTGGGGGGTGGGGGGGTGGGGTGGGGTGTTAGAAATGACTGAAAGATTAATGTGCTCTGTTTTAGGTTTTGTTCAAAAAAAGAATGACTTCATATAGGAAAAAGAATATATCACATATGCAGGAGACCTTAAACAGTTTTATAATTAAGCAGCAAGGCAGAACAAAGTCTGGGCTGTATCACAACACAGGGACTAAACTCCAATTCAACCAGACCCAGAACTGATCCAGAATTAAAACAGGATTACAACAGTTCAAAATCAGGACTGCTTAGGACTTAATCAAGACAGAACCAGAATCAAAACTAGATGATAGAAGCACTAAAATCATCATACACTTGCACTACACTACCAAAGTACACTAGATTCAGAAAAGTTTCTATAACTATTTAGCCTTGTTGTGCAAACAAGCCTGCATAACTTAATAAATATAGAATTTGAAAAGTAACAAATGGTATCTAAAAAGATACACTAGTTACTAGATACATGTTGTGATATTCTGGATTAGGCTCTTTGAAAAGATCAGGACAGAAGGACGTGGATAGGTGCTTTATTGAACAGCCGGACATCACACACTAACTTGTTGTTTTCTTAGCGGTGCACAAACTACCCTTTTTGTTGTTATGTATTGGTCAACCAAGAACTAGCCCTGTAACAGGCACTTCTGTATTTTACCACTGGGGGGGCAACAATTCACTCTATTACACATGTTCTGATGAGTTTTGGCAAACAACCATTTGACTAACATGTCTGTCTCACCTGGCTCGTGTTCCATCTCTGTTCTGTCCTCATTCTGCTCTCCATCTCCCTTTCTGTTCCCCTCTCTCCCTCTCTGTTCCCCTCTCTCCCTCTCTGTTCCTCTCCAAACACCAACATCATTAAATATACAGTTGAAACCAGATAGTTACATAGTCTTCAGATAAAAACACAAACACTTTTTAATTGTACCATCAAATTGGACTAAATGTTTATTTTTTTTAGACTGATAAATATAAAAACCATTTTTGTTAAATTTAAGAGTAAAGAGATAAATCGTATGTATTTCTTAATTGCAAATGGCACCTAAATTGTATTCACAATTGAGCCACACTTATGGAGGTCCCCTGGTGTCTTGGTTGATATCTCTTGATTTTCACATGTCAAAGAAACAGGCTCTGTGTTTTAGGGGTGCATCCACGTGTGTGCCATCAATTTACTCAGATGGACTTTACTAACCTATCAGAAGCTTCTTAAGCTCAGAATGGAATCGTCTGGAGTTTTCTTATTAATTAATAATAAACTTAGTATATATATATATATATATATATGTGTGTGTGTGTATATATATGTATATATATATATATATATATATACATACATATATATATATATACTCCTAAAGTTGATGAAAGTGTCTCTTCCAACTGTAATGTTTGGCACGCTTAAATATTTCAGATTATCTAACAAATTAAAATAATAGACAAACATAACAAAATTAAACACAAAAAGCAGTTTCTAATTTGAGATGTTCATTATTATGGGGGGAAAAAAATTCCAAATACGTGGCTCTGTGTGTAAAATTGATTTGGCTCGCTAGCTTCTATCTAAATACAATATAGCGTGTCCTGACTGCGGGGTTTTGGAAACAAATTAAAACGTACAGCTCTGTTATCACTTCCAATATAAATGAAGACAGAAAACTAAACAGCAGTGATGTTTGTAGTGTTACTGAAGTTGGCTAGCTGGTATATAATGATGTGCTACATGACCGCTAGCGACACAGCTATGTTAGCATAATATAAACAAGCTAACTTTTTTTCCACTCGATAAAAGTT